AGTGAACATTTAAATAAATCATTACAACAAAGACACATTGCCATTCATCCCCCCAAATATTTCCCTTCACTTCAAACACACTTATCCCATCATCCTTGCTGCTTTCTGAAATAGCTCTGGAAGTCGTCTTTCAAGAGTGTCTTTAGTTGCACTGTGATAGTCGCCTGATGTCCTGAATCGACTGCAAACGTTTACCTTTCGTGACCTCAGAGAAGAGCCAGATCCAATGAGTAAGCGGATGAAGACACACTGCAGGGTTTCACAAGGCTGTCTGTCCACTCAGTGGCACTCGGCAGCAGCAGTCACTGTAGTTTTGGTCATACCTCATAAAGATGCTCACGCAGGAGGACTCGTAGAATGGCTTCAGAAAGTGGCAAGGATGATAGGGTAAGTGTGTTTGAAATGAGAAGAAGGATTTTGAAAGAGACCAATGGCCGTGTGTCTTTTACTATAATAATGGTTTTAAAATTTAAACATTCACCATATATAATCATCCCTCGTATAGGGACTGAAGGTGCTATCTCCTTGTCAGATGGCCCCCTATTCCCCCTTCTGATGAGTGAGACAATGGAGCTGTGTTTTCAACAGCAGGGATCTTTGATGGCCACAGGCATACAGCTCTGAGCCAGACTAAAGGAAAGGGAGAACTGAGATGTTGGGAAGGAGTAGGACTAGGGATCTCTCAAAGACCTGCTTGAACAGGAAGTGATAGCCCCCAAAAGATCAGTGTTTAAAGGGATAGATAGCATCTTTGGCTGCTTCTGTAATATCATCAGCGGGTGTCTGACACCGTGAACAGGACGTAGGACAGCAGGAACTTTTGGATATTCCCAGATGCAGGCAGGAATGCTTCTCGAGAGAGCCCATTTGTGGTGAAGCTGATTCTGCCAGCGTCCTGAAACCTACTGGGGAGCACACAGGCTTCTCAGGGAGGGTTTGGCAACATTCACTTGGGAATTAGGGTGCTGGCCAAATAGCTGGACTTCATCCTGGTATCCAAGCTCAACCTGGAAGCGGTGAGATACAAATAAGAAAAACAAACTTTGGGGGAGGGAAGGAGCTGGTTCCTGTTGGTCACCCCAGTCCTGGTTTAGGAAGACAGGACTGATCTTGGGTGCCCCCTGCTGGACGGGAAGTGGAATCTCATTGTGGCCCAGGAGGCAAGTTAGATGCCTAAAGGCTCAAGTGAATTCACATCAGTCTTCCCTTATTTGCAGGTTTGCTTACTGTGGTTCCAGCTATGGTCTGAAATTTTTTTTTTAAATCCCGGAAGCAAACAATTCCTGTTTTAGATTGCATTGCCATTCTGAATATGGTGATGAAATTTGGGCCAACCTGTTGTGTCCTGCTGGGAATGTGGACTGTGTCCTAGTCCAGTGTATCCAGGTTGTATATGCTACCCACCTCTTAGTCACTTGGTAGCTATCTTAGCTCGCAGGTCTCATCTCAGCTGCCATGGTATGACAGTGCTTGTGTTCAAGTACAATTGAAGATTTTCAGGGGAAGGACGTTGATGTAATTTTTAATGCATTATACTATTATAATTGTTCTATTTTATTATTAGGTATTGTTACAAACATTCAACTGTGCTAAGTATACTTTAAACTTTATCACAGGTATCTATGTATAAAAAATGCATGTATATAGGCTTTGCTACTGTCCAGAGTTTCAGCCATCCACCGGGGCTCATGAAGCAGAGTGCATGAGGATAAGAGGGGATTTGGGTCAGCTCAGAAGAAGGTGTCATGGTAGCATCCCCTCTCTTCCCCTGGCTCCCCAACCTCCCTCCCCTGATGTCTAGAGATTTTAGGGCACAGGGACTTCTTCCACCTACAAACATGACGTTACACCTGGGTCTTGGTACCTGAGCACCAGTTACAGAAAGCCTTGGGTGGGGGACTTAAGGGGCAAAGTTTGGCCCCCTGTACTCCCAGCCCTTTTTGTCCCAGTCTGCTTTTTGGCATCTAAAGTCTGAGCTTTGAACCTGGTGGTACTCGGTCCAGGGCATCATGCTTCAGGGGCTGCCTGCTCCTGGTCGCAGCAGTCATGTGCAGCATGGTGGCCGCGTTTATCCAAGTGGGGCTACTGAGCATGAAGTGCCCCAGACAGCCAAGATCACCAGCCTCCCCAGGGCCAGGAGCTTGATGGGAAAAATGGGCAGAACTGAAGTGCATAGGAAGGCAAGTGACAAACCTGGAAAGTTTAGGAGCTTTGTCATATGGGAGGGCAAGAAACTATTTTGATCTGAGAACCAGTGTGTGAGTCTCCTTGCATTGTCAGCTAAGAATCTGGATACACTGCCGCCTGGAGGTCTGTTTGCTTATTTGTATTTTTTTTTTTGTTTTTTGTTTTTTGTTTTTTTTTCTCTCCCTTTCTCCAGACCTCCATGCTTTCTGTAAAATGGGATTAAGCCCATCTCTTCCACAAAATCAAGACAAAGCATTTTCTGTGTAAGATGAGATAAACAAAAATAATGATTCTTTTAAAGTGCATTTTTAACATCATAGAAAGCGTACAACATAAAATCTGCCATTTTAACCATTTTCAGGTTCGGTGACAGTAAGTGCATTTGCCTTCCTGGGCACCCACCCCTGACTCCCATGTCCAGAACTGTTCCATCTTCCCCAACTGAAGCTCCGCACCTATTCAACATGAATTCTCCACTTTTCCTCCCTCAGCCCCTGGTGACCACTAAGTGTGATGACTCTAGAGGTACTTCGCATGGATGGGATCGTACTGGATTTGTCCTGTGGGACCGGTTTGTGTCACTCAGCCCAAGGTTCACCCACGTTGTAGCCTGTGTTCCAGGACTCCCTGTCTCTAAAAGGCTGAAGTGTGTCCCATCATACAGTCACACACAGCTTGTTTATTTTTCTATCCACTGAAGTGGGCATGTAGGTGGCATCCACCTTTTGGCAACTATGAATAATGCTGCTATGAGCATGGGTGGAGAAATAGCTGTTTGAATCTCTGATTTCCATTATTTCAGATATTGGAGTTGATGTTTAAATGGCGGGGGCAACAGCTGTGCTGCTTTCTCTTGTGTTACATTCCCACTAGATAGAGCAGACAGCATTCACTCCTGCATCTCTCAATCCTCAGCATCTGGGAGCGTGTTTACTTCAGAGCGGAAGCCTCCGTCGCAGTGGACAGAGGATGCCATCGTTATGCTATTGCCTCTCCATATGCGTCCCAATTCATGGCGCATAGAAAGCAGGCGCTACAACGGTGCTGAAGGAACTAAAGTGTAAATAAAGGGATGAATGCAAGCACTTACTATTGATTCTTCCTTGGCCTGTGACTGAGATCAGAGGTTCTGGGAAGTTGGACTACGAGTTAAGAATAGAACCTGCTACCTCTGCTCACCCAGGAGCTGCACGTTGCTGCCACTTCAGAGACGTGGGGTGCTGTAAGATCAGATCACAGCTGTGGTGAGAGTGACAGAGGCATGGGTCCTCGACTCCCCACTTCCCACTGCCCACGCTAGACTGTGCATTCGAACCGGGAGCACCGTGGAGAACTTCGCCTGTGTGTGAGCTGCCCCTGAACGCAGGTGCTGTGGTTAACATTCTCCTAATACGTGCCCGTGGGTGGGTGTGACCAGAGAAGTTTACACAGTTATAAGGTGTGTACATTTGCACTTTTACTAGTTCACCCGATTGCTCTTCAAAGTTTCTGTGCCAATTTGTACTCCCACTGGAGGGCAGGAGAGTGCCCTCTCTAATATGCGAAATTCCCAAGTTTTGTTTACTTTTGGGCTGAAATAATGTTTTGCATTTGTCTTAGTTTTCACGTCACTGTGAACTCACTTTAGTGTTTGAGAGACATCTGATAGGTTGACCATGCCTGCTTGGCAGAGATGGGCCACCTGGGCTGTGACCTCTAGAATGGTGCGTCTCCCTCCTTGGCCCCCCATTCTCTCTGATTCCCCGCTGCTATGACCAGAGCAGTGTTCCCGCACCGACCTTTCCTCCATGCCCTTTCTCTCGTGGCACCTGTGATCATGCATAGACTGAGAACTCCGAAACTGTGAGTCAAAATAAACCTCTCCTCCTTTACATCGGAGTGTTGGATACGTATGTCCCACTGACAGAGTAAGCGACCCAGTTACCCTCTGGTTAATTCTGTTTTGTTCTCGCAAATGTTCTTCAGGAAGCTAAAAGAGTCACCCACAGACCTTGCTCATAGAAACATGGGAAAAGAATCCACTCATTCTGTTGGTGAAAATGTGGGTTTGGGCTTTGCTACAGTGTTCTCTAATTTCCTAATCCTGGCCAAGGCTCCTACCTCCATCAGAGAGCTCTTGCTGTTAGCAGTAACACCTGGCCCAAAGTCAGGACCACCAGGGGTGGCGAACCTGTGGCACGCGTGCCCCAGGATCCTGTTTGCATCTTTGAAAGCTCTAAAAGGTTCGCCATCCCTGCCAGAGACTTGTTGGCTAATTTAAGCAAACTCCTTCCTCATTTGCTCAGCCTGTAAGAGGGTAATGATCATGCGGGATCCCCCTGGCTTCTGCCAGGATAAAGACCATAGCAGGTGGGAAGGGTTAGGAGAAACACCTAGGATAAACCACCAGGTGCAAACCCAGGTGTGCAGAAACTGTACTGGGAGTCTTTCCAGCCGCCACAAACTAGTTGCAGGAAGAATGTGCTTTAGTTGCAGGAAGAATGTGCTTTTTTGGATGTATCTGGTTGGCCGGACGATTTCTGGCCTGTATTTTCAGGAAGCTCAGCAACAGACTCAAAGAGTTTCCAAAATGACAAACTACAGTCTGGTCCCCTGTCCTTACGCCACAGTCCAAGTCGGCTCCCGCACGCCACCTGGTGTCAGATCCTCGCTACTGCCCAGAAACCACGTGTAAGAAAATGCTTACAACCTAACTACGTACTTTGGCGTCCACCCATCCTAGCCAATAGAAGAAGAGGAGGAGGGGAAGAGGCACGTGAGCGTCCAATCAGCTCCGGCTTTCTGAGAGGGAGGCGGGGCTCAGGGGTGGACCACGTTGGGTTTGTCCGCAGCGCTAATTACTTTTTCCAGAGGCTGCAGGCTTCACTCAGGCTGGCGCCGCCGCTCCGCTCGCTCCTTCTCCGCCGCCGCGGTCTGGGGCTGCTGGTCCCGAGTACCATGTGTGACGGCGCCCTACTGCCTCCCTTGGTGCTGCCCTTGCTGCTGCTGCTGGTTTGGGGACTGGACCCGGGCACAGGTAGCGGCCCTCGCCATGCGCACCGAGGCGTCC